GCTTATCAGCGCCATCTTGTAATGGCGACCACGGTCCGCTGACACGGCTCACCACATTAACTTCAAATTAATGGCAAGATGTGTAGAGGGTACAGGTTTGCATATTCCACCAGCAGCACAGCAAGCTCTACAAATGAGTACACACACACACACACACACACACACACACATATAGTAATATGTTTATATTAATCCTGTCCTCCTCAGTATTCACATTCACAAATGGTCAGAAAAAAAGTGGCAAGGGGAGAAAGGTGACTCCTGACTCCATATAGTTTTTAGTCATTCTCCTGAAAGTCTGTAAGAGCAGCATTTGGAAAACTTGGACTTAGGGGATCTAGACTATGAAGCAGGATCTAGAAACAGAAGACTGTTGGCTATCCTGGCACACAACAGCAATCAAGAGGCTGATCAAATATGTAGTCTGAGAAATTCAGGATTTTTTCCTCCTTTTGGTGGTTGCTGGGGATTGAACATCAGGGACATGCTAGGAAAGCACTCTACCACTGAGCTACATTCCTAGCCCTTAGAATTCTTTTAAGAAATGCTTATCATAACAAAATAAGCCAATCTCAAAGAACCAAAGGCCAAATGATTTCTTTGATACATGGATGCTAATTCATAATTAGGGGTGGCGAAGATTAGAGGTACTTTGAATTAGACAAAAGGGAGTGAAGGGAGGAGAAGGGGTATGGGGGTTGGAATAATAGTAGAATGAATTGGACATTATTACCCTACGTGCATATATAATTACATGACCTGTGTTAACTCTACACCATGTACAACCAGAAGAATGAGAAGTAATACTCCATTTATGTATGATGTGTCCAAATGCATTCTACTGTTATGTATAACTAATTAGAACAAATTTTTAAAAGTTTAAAAAATGCTTATCATTGAAATGCAAAGCATTTAACAGAAGGAATTTAAAATTCAGTTATTTAGGTGAACCTTAGCACTGAAAGGTAACAAAATGTAAATAACAAGGAGTTCAAAATTTCGTATTAAAAATGAAAAATCTTGGACTGGGTTGTGGCTTAATGGCAGAGCGCTTGGTTAGTATGTGTGAGGCATTAGTTTCAATTCTCCGTACCACATATAAATAAATAAAATAAAGGTCCATCGACAACTAAAAAAATACGAAAGATCTATTTAAAATTTTTTTTTGTTATAATTGTACAGAAAGCCTTTATTTATTTTCAATTATTTTAGTTGTTGGTGGCCTCATATTTGCTAAGCAAGCCCTCTGCACTGAGCTATAGACTCAATTCCTAAAAATGAAAAATCTTACCTGGGTAAAGTTTTGTTTTGTTTTGTTTGGGCAGTACTGAGACTAAACTGAGGGTCACTTTAATAAGATAACATAAAATACAATACTTCAAAAAGTATTAGGAATGAAATTCAAACTCTTTGGTCTGATCCCTGGATCCTCTCCAGTCCCATCTGTTTCCCTACTATCCCATATTCACATTCCAGCTATATCAAGTTACCAGAATATATCACACTTTTTCAAAAAGTTAAGGGAGCCAGCTTAAAGGAACTTCCAGTAGCTAAACTATAAAGAATGGATAGATAGATAATAATTAATGTCAAATACAATTAAAATGATACATAGGAGATAAAACCTAATGTGAAATATACTGAAAAGTTCTAATGCCAAGAAGAGTAACTCTAATAAGTCACTTCATTTTTAAGATTGCGTGTATAAAGGAGTACTGATAAGCAAAAGCCATTAAAATATAATATCTGTTTATAAAGTCTGATTGGATAGTTGTTTCTATCTCTGTAAGTAGAAAAGGATGAATACAGGGAATTGTAAATAAGCAAACCAGATCTTGCAAAAGTAGAAACCATATCAAGAATAAAAGGACTGATCAGCACAAGCATTATTACATAATAAAAAGGTAGAAAAATTAAACAACAATTGGAGCTGGGAATGTAGCTGAGAGATGGTGCACTTTCCCTGTATGCTTGAGGCTCTAGTTTTGATCGTCAGTATTACAAGAACAAAAAATCACTGTCGGGGCTAGAGTTGTAGCTCAGTGGTAGAGTGCTTGCCTTGTACACGTGAGGCACTGTGTTCGATTCCCAGCACCACAAATAAATAAGCAAATAAAATAAAGGACCATCAACAATTAAAAAAATATTTAAAAAAATTACTGTCAAAAGTATCCAACAATTAATCTGTGCCAGTGATCAACTAAACACAAAAATCAATTAGCAACAAATTTAATTGTTACAGTCCAAAATTTGTAGGGCTGGAGACATAGCTCAGTGATAGAGCACTTGCCTAGTATGCTCAAGGCCCTGGAATCAATCCCCAGTACAACAAAAACAAAACAAACAAAATTATAAGTTATCCAAATCCCCTAAAAAGGAGAACTAAAGATACAAACTAGATTATGCAACTTCTCAGAATGAACATTATAATACTATAATACTAATAATACTAAAATATTAATAAATCATACACAGATTCTAATAATTAGACTATGCCAATATATAACAGCAGGATAATAGGTTACATAATACTGGCTAAGCAAAATCTAAAGAATATATCATTTTAGGGAAAACTCCAAGGAAAAAACACATCATTACAGGGAAAACTAAAACTCAAAAAAGTGTGGTCGGGCATGGTGGCACGCTCCTGTAATCCCAGCAGCTTGGAAGGCTGAGGCAGGAGGATCACAAGTTCAAAGTCAGCCTTAGCAATGGTGAGGCACTAAGCAACTCAGTGAGACCCTGTCTCTAAATAAAATACAAAACAGGACTGGGATGTGGCTCAGTGATTTAGTGTCCCTGAGTTCTATCCCTAGTACCAAAAAAAGAAAAAAAAAAAAAGAGATTACTATAGCTCTATGAAGATTAAAAACAAAAACAGCTCTATGAAGATTAAAAACAAAAATAAGAGATATGGATATAGCTCAGTGATAGAATGCTTGCCTAGCATGAATGGGGCCCTGGATTTAATCCCTAGCACCACAAACAAACAAACAAAAAAAGTACTACTGGAATACTAGAAGATAAGTGTGACTAATAAGTACCATGTTTACTGGCTAACTTGGGGCGATTAAAGTAGTTAAAAGAAACATTAAATTTGTAATAGCAATTTTAATCCTTAAAGGTATCTAATAAATCTGTAATCAAAGTTTAAACATTTTGTTTAATGTGATTTTATTTCTTTATTTTTTTCTTAAAGAGAGAGAGAGAGAGAATTTTTTTTAATGTTTATTTTTTAATTTTCGGTGGACACAACATCTTTGTTTTTGTATGTGGTGCTGAGGATTGAACCCGGGCTGCATGCATGCCAGGTGAGCGTGCTACTGCTTGAGCCACATCCCCAGCCCCTTAATGTGATTTTAAATTGGATTTTTTGTTTCTTATGTATAGTTAGTCCTCTGTATCACAAGTTCCATATATAGGATTCAACAAACCACAGACAAAATATTTTTGGGAAAAAAATTATGTCTTTACTGAACATGTACAAACTTTTCCCCTTGTAATTACCCTCTAAAAAAGTACCATGTAACAACTATTTACACAGCATTTACAGTGTCTCAGATATTACAGGTAATATGAAGATGGTTTAAAGTATATGGGAGATGTATGTTGATTATATGCACATACTATACCATTTTATGTTAGGGAATGAGCATTCAGATTTTGGTATTGGTGAGTGCACATGCTTGTATCCATGTGTCCTAGAACCAATCCCCCACAAATACTGAGGGATATTTGCATATACATTCAACCATGTAACCCTTAAATAGAATGCAAATAGTTGTGAATGCTCCTCTGCACATGCAAAAGGACATTATAGAATCTAATTAACATTTACAAGCATTTTCTTTTTTAAATTTATTTTTAAATTTGTTCTTTTTAGATATACATAACAGTATTTTTTTTAAGAGAAGAGAGAGAATTTTTTAATATTTATTTTTCAGTCTTCGGTGGATACAACATCTTTATTTTATGTGGTGCTGAGAATGGAACCCAGCGCCCCACACATGCCAGGCGAGTGCGTTACCGCTTGAGCCACATGCCCAGTCCATGACAGTATATTTTTTAAAAATATTTTTAGTTGTAGATGGACACAGTACCTTTATTTATTTATATGTGGTGCTAAGGATTGAACCCAGTGCCTCACATATGCTAAGCAAGTGCTCTACCACTGAGCTACAACCCCAGCCCAGTAGAGTGTATTCTGACATACTATACATACATATATGGAGTATAACTTATTCTAATTAGGATACCATTCTTGTGGTTGTACATGATATGGCATTTCACTGGTGATGTATTCATATATGAACATAGGAAAGTTATTAAGTCAGCAACTACATCTTGTTTAACTTTACATTATTTACTTCTAGCACATCATTTATGATGTACAGCAGTTTTCCAATAAATGTTTCTTAAATGAAAGCATGAATGATAATTATAAAACCCAGCAAACAAATCAAACTCTAATCTTACCTGTTTTTTTTTTTCCTTTTTGACCTGGAACGGGTTCTAAACTATCTTGGCTTTTTCTCATTAACATGGCAAGTGAGGCATCATAAGCTCTGAACAGGTCCACAACCTCATGTAAGGCAACATCTGTTATCAGATCACAGCTCAGGACCAGCACATCTGTCTGTCAAATGAAGAAGGAAAAGTACATCACAAAGAACAATGGATCACACGAATCATCCTCAGACAAACTTTTAATGGCTTAGAAGCACAGAAACCAGACAATATTTTTGAACCTTTTTAAATAGCAAAAGAAGTAAAATAAATGGGTTGTTCTGATAGAACTGTGTGGAGGAACATTTCTACTGCCCCCTTGCAAACCTTACTGGGCAGTCCTGAGACACCTTTAGAATCCTGGACTCTAAGAAACACAGTCTGAAAAGTACCACAATGTCTGTTTCCATGCCTTTGGGATAAATTATCTTTATAGAACAATCACTTTGCTATAGTACTAGGAAATACCAAGATGAATATAATGTAATGCCCCATTCTTTGGAAACTCAAATTCTAAGTTATAAAAAAGTACAATACAATATCAGGTATACAAAGCACCCATTTAATCTTATAACAATACTATACAAATAGTATTGTTAATATTAATAGTCTTTTTTTTTTTTTTTTAGATGAGGTCTTGCTATGTTGCCCAGCTGGCCTCAAAATTTTGTGATCCTCCTGCCTTAGCCTTCCAAGTAGCTGGGATTATAGACATGTGCCACCATGCATGGGTAATTTCTATTTTTATATATAAATGTGAGGCCTACTACAATAGCACTTGGAACACAGTAGGCATTTAATAATTGATCAACAAGAGGCTGGGGGTATATGTAGCTCAGTGATAGAGCCTGTGCTTACAGGCATGTGAGGAACAGGATTCAATCCCCAACACCAAAACAAATAAACAAACACAAAATAAAATTGATGAATGAATGAATAAGTCAATGAAGAAAAGATTTTCTCATAATGGTGGCAGGAGGGTCCCAAGTTCAAAGTTAGCCTCAGCAATTTAGTGAGGCCCTAAGCAACTCAGTAAGACCCTGTCTCAAAATTAAAAAATAAATAAAAAACAGGCTGTGGAAGTGGTTCATTGATAAAAGCAATCCTGGGTTCAATCCCTAGTACATCCCTCAACAACAACAACAACTACAACTCCTCAAAGAATGATAGGTAAATATGAACAGAAGTGTTTTTCGTTCCTATGTTAACTTTCAATCAGAGTTAATCAAATAATAATACTATAAGGTAAGGAGTTTCCAATCATTAGAAGTACTCAAGAAAAAACAAGATTCTTGTAATGATTAATTTATCTAATATTTATTGAGCAATTACTCTATGCCTAGCTAGGTCTTATTATGAAGCTTGGAGGAAACTGGGACTAGGAAGTTTCAAATATGAGTGGCTAACCAAGGCTATTTAATTTATTTTAAACCAATTTATAACTATACATTCTGCCATTATATATGTTTATCATAAATGCAGAAAACAGAAGTTCCAAAACAATCAAGTAGAAGACAAATTCCTTAAATTGTAATTTAAATCAACCACACCAATGTTTCTCAATAGTAAACCTACAGTTTCCCAAAGTGTCTGATTCTTGGTTCCCACGGCCCTTCCTGAGTCCACCAAGGCAGCTCTTCTTTTTATCTTTTAGGCTTCTATAGAAACACTGGCTTTGAAAATTGGTTATGTGACTTTTAAAAAGTCTGAAAAACACTAAATTATTTCACTCAAAGGAATAAAGAGATTATTTACATGGAATTTTTTTGTGATTTTAATTTTCCCAAAATTTTAACTTAAAATCAAGATTCCTTGCTTTGGGTGGGAAAATGGAAGACTTTAACACATATCCCTCTCAACCCCCAAGACTGTGCTAGGAATGGAATTCAGTTGCACCCCTGGACCTAAGCTCATAGTCTTTTTATTAGAAAGGGAGACTCAACCATCAGAATGCCTTGCCTTACTGCCTATTTCTGAAAACAGAATCCCTATAAATATCATATTTTCAGGAAAAAAAATTCTTAAGACTACAACTCATCATTCAGAACCACCAAGCATAAACAAATCAGATAACACATATGCAAGGTAAAAAAGAAACAGTGTGCAGAATCCCACTTACAATAACACTTAGAAAAGCAGGCCATATTGGCCATTATGAAACAGATAACATAAAATTATCACTACAATGGTACAGAACATGCCCCTTTTCATCAAAATGAAAAGACAGTTTCCTAAGGAAAAATCTCCTATTTTCCTATAATGACCAATTATTATAAGTTGTTCCATAATTAATTGAATTAAGTGTACCTCAAAGTAAAGAAAATGGCTCTAATGCAATGTCTCTTAGGTGGTGACAATGCTGTCTTAGAGAATAAATGCTGTTGTTATTCAATATCTGCAGAAGTGTTGAAATCCGTCAGACCCATGAATACTGAACAAGTCCTTATAATTGTGAACAGACACGTAGGCTCATTTCTTTCTTTGCTTTTAAATGACTTTTTGCTCAACTGAATACAAAATCTCCAAGGATCACAAGGATCAGATCCCACCCCTCAATGTCTGGTTGCCATCTGTTCTCAGAGTGAAAAGAAAGGCATTAGTCTGAAAGAGGAGGCCCAGGGATTGAGACATTGATGGTGCTCCCTTAGCTCCTCTCCTGCCTTTGTCCCAGAGAATACACTATACAAGAGTCACTGAGATTCCCATCCTATATGCAACCCCACCACTTCCAAAGGAAGGTCTTTGCTGTACTTGTTTCCAAAGCTGGAAATGTACTTGTTTCCAAAGCTGGAAACTCTGGCTCGAATATACAAAATTCTAAAAGAAAAACAAAATCATCCTTATACCTTCATAATACCTTCTATCTGTACATTTTTATAGAAGTAATAATAGGAAAAAAATGACTATTGCTTAGATTTTTATTCTAATAATACAAAGCCCATTCTAGAAATGCAAATGGCCTTCCACTAACTGGAGCCCAGAGACACAAACTGAAAAAGTGATAAGATCCAGAAGTATTTTTGATCATGTGTGACCACAGCCATGAATAAACATGGACTGTCTGGACTATGAAGTAATTGTGTATCTGAAATACAATCAATCTCAATGTTCTCTGAATGTGCCAACCCTCAGCTGCTTTGTGTTTCAAGGGAACAGTTCTTTTCTAACACCAACAGCCAGTCTCTTCTGCAGAAACGAACTAGAATCTCTGAAGATCTCCCTACTCAATATTCCAACAATCCTCATTATGCCTTATTCTAAAACTGTGAGAGAAGTCAGGGCATTGTTAAGGGCAAAAGGCACAGCTCTGCATGATAACAAATATGCACTGTTGACAGTGCAGAAACATACAAGGTCTTCAAGGGAAGGTAGCACTTTAGCTATTTAGGGAGAAATCAAGACACCCAGGAATTCAAAAAACAAACTGTTGCCAGTTAGTTTTGACTAAAGCAAACAAATTAAGCTCAGAAAACCCAATTACCAAGTCATGGCAAAGCCCAGAAATCTCTCATTACAAGAACATTTTCCATCAAGCCAAAACCACTGAGTAAAACTACAGGGGAAAAAATGCTAAATCAGAAAACCGGATGTGTGTGTGTGGTGATAGTCGGGGGTGGTGAGGAGAGCTACTGGGAATAGCCTCTTTTCTTTTCCTGGCAGCTGTTCCATGACAGATTGTTATAAATAACACAATCTGGCAAACAATTTCCTACAGCAAGGAAAAAGAAAAACACACTCCACTGGGGAGTGGGGGGCGGGGGACACCCATCAGGGCATGGTAAACTACCATGCTTTTACCCACCCAGCACTTTCACAAACAATGGATATGGTCCAAATGACCACCCTCCACTCTGCCCCAGCCCATATGGAACAAATAAATTCAGCTACTTGGTGTGACTACAAATGGTCACAATTTACATTTTCCTATCCAATCCTCAAAAGCAGTTTGTGTGCTTTAGTAAACTTCAACAGTTAATTTAGATTTGGTTAAAAATGATTAGAAAAGTTCCCAATCTGTAGTCCTCAAACTACACAGCAAAGAAGGTGCCCCTTTGTTTGCACTGAGGTTGGGGCCATAGGTGCAGGGAGGAAGGACCAACTCATTCTGTAAGTAAGAAATTTGACAATCTTTAGGCTCAAGCCGAATGCTCTCCTTGTGTTTCTTAGCTCAATCATAGAACCATTACCATCCAGGATTAAAATTGGCTTTGAGGATATGGACAGTGACGTACTAGATTCACAGTTTTAAAATAGAAGCTCAATATTTATAGTTCCTTCATCTTCCAAAGGAAGTTTCCCACTTCAGGTTAAGTAAAAATTCTATTCCTTTGAAGTAGAATTCTACTTATCTTTCCAGTATGAAGCTAAAAAAGAAGTAACTGAGAATATGTTAGTTAAAAACAGGTTCTCTAACACTAAAAACACTAGTCATTTCACTTCAGGATTTAGATATATACAATATAATTTGTATCCAAATTGCATGATTTCAAATGTCTTGGAATAGAGACAAAACAAAAAATAAAAGCCTTTTTTTTGTTCCCTGAAATCAGACCTTTACTAAAATATATTAAATTTAATTTTATTTGTTTTTGAAAACAGGGTTTCAGTGTTGCTCTGCTGGTCTTGAATTCATATACTCATGAGTAGCTGGGATTATGAGCACACCACCAAGCATGGCTAAACAGAATTTATATTTAAAATTTTGATATTTTTTCTTTGGTAAGTGACAAATGTCTCATAGGATAAAAATACTGTTACCCTCTATGTCTAGGGAGAAAAAAGAATAAGAAAACATTACAAGACCATAGAACATGCTCTTATAATTACATTACATATTTTCTGCTTAAATTTGAATTTTATCCTGGAGCATGACATAGAAATATTGTCCACTTTACTCAGATATCATGAAGGTTAGAAGATCAGAGGAGGATGGTTGGGGACTGTGATTATGGGGACTTTATCACAATGAGAAAAAGACAGCTAATTAGTTAAATAAAGTAAAATAAAATAAAATCAGAGTTTAATCATCCCAAAAAGGCAACTTCTAAAATTTGTTTCTTTTCTTATTAATTCCACATGGGACCTAGTGTAAGTAAAGCCTTCTTCAGGCCTCAGTTTCCTTGCCTACAA